GTGTGTGTGAGTGTGTGTGTTACCTGCTGATGCTGCTCTTCCTGGACAGAGTATTACTGGGAGAAGCTGGAGGTGTCTGATAGGTGTAGTTGAAATCAGAACCTTTCAGGTCCAAAATCACCTGAGAAACAAAAAGAAAACACAAATGACGACTCTGGTTGGTCTGGTACTGTTCCAAAATCCCAATACGTTATTCTATCCCTCAATACTCTCCGACTTCTCTACCCAAACCCATTGGTCTCTGTAGACAAATAGATAGTTTCATTGGACACTAGTTTTTAGCAAACATTACTCAAAAAGGAGGAAATAGTGCATTTGTTGGGGACTATTTTCGAGCCCAACCGATACCGATTTTATAGAGGAGAAAAATTCAAATAATTTAATTTAAGAAGATTTCAATCAAATATTGGCCTGAGGGTGGTACTACAGGAAATGTCAGAGGTCACCAAAAGCATCAGAGGGAGGAAGAAAAGGTTACCTGCTCGCTGGCTGGTGGAAGTTTATTGGGCTCAGCTGTCAGATTGGTCAGATCTTCCAGAATGGTCTGCAGGTGGGTCACCTCACCCAGCATGTTGATCTCATGGTCCTACACACATACACACACACACATATATATTAATGATTAGCGTGGTTACGTCAGTTTAAGAGGCTTTCAAAGACCACAGTCTGATGCTGGTGGATTTGACTCGTCACACACACGCAGCACTGACCAGTACAGGCTTCAGCATGCCGACGAAGCTGCAGTAACGCGCCCTTTCTTCTATGAGCGCCCTGCACACGGCCCTCTTTTCTGTGTCCTCTAGGACGGCGTAACGCACGTTGACATCCTGCAGCGCGCTGTCCAGCTGGCCCCGAGCCTCGTCCTTCCCTACAGAAAAACACACACACACACACAGGAGGAACTGATGAAGATCCAGGTAGGAACTGAAATGTTATTATCATCTGTTCCTGTTTTAGACTGTACATCAGTCACTGGGACAAAACAGACAAGTAGTCCTCATAAAATCTGAATCTCACTTTTATACTTGATACAGTTTTTTTTTGTTTAATTCTGGTGACTGACAGCAATTCGTGCTATACGTTTTATTTTATGAGCAGCAAAGAGACCAAAGACCGGCATGCCCTCTAAAAATAACAGTAACAATTTAATTTAAGTCCTGACACCCTGTCAATAGTAAACCTCTGACAGTGATAACAGAGGTACAGTATCATCAATAACACACAGTGTCAGGCTTGATACTAGATAATACCAGCAGGGGTCAGCACAACACTACACAGCTGATGTAATGGCAGCCAGGACACAAACACACAAACACACAAACACACACAAACACAAACACACACAAACACACACACAGTGGTGAGTGTCAGCTGTTTGTCACACAGATGCTGCCTGACCTTGTCCTCCTGTGTTTGACTCTAAGCACCAGTTTGTGTTTAAATGTGTGATTATTAGAAAATAGCTACATACTTCTAAATCTAAGAATGTAGGATTTCTGTATTAACATTAACGTGACTGAGCACCTGATCTAGTGTAAATGTATGGCTAGAAACAGTGATACTGTGGAGGAGAGAGAATTCACACAGACAGAGATGAGACCTCTCTTTCTCTCTCTGGTGTGATTTACTGTATTGTTTACTAGACTCCACCACCGGCATGTGATCCGGACCAACCTCATCGTATGATCCCGTCCAGAAACCAGCTCATGAAATACCCTAAAAACCAGTTCACCACTCCAAAAACCTCCAGTCTTTCCTAGACAGAAACCACTGTTACAAAGCCAACCAGAGGACGGTTCTGGAGCCTTGTGAATTGAAGATGGAAAACATTTTGTGGCTCTTTAATCACAAATTTAACACAACTTTCATCACTCAAGTTGTTCATAAACACAAACAGGCCAGTTACATGTTCCGCTGTCACTCATTTTTAGTGTTTGGACCAAAAACCACCAAGTTTAACCCTCAAATCATCAGAATTCATTTCTGTGAAAATGTCGACTCAAGATCTCTTCTGCCTTACAGAAATCTCCATTATCAGTGTATGTGACCTAGAGGGTTTGAGTTTCCACATCAGCATGGTGCAATATGTTATTGTGCAAGTTGCATACTGGACTGTGATTGGCTTCAAAACATTGTGACGTCACAAAATCCTGATTGTACAAACTCAGAGTTAAGGTGAGGACAGAGAAACTCCCCCCCCTTTCAGCAGAGGAATGTAAAATAACAGTCTTCAAGTGTGAAACTCTGCCCATTAATCATTCTGCACAGTGAAGCTCAAACATCCAGATTAAGAAACAAAAGACAAAACTGAGTGAAAATTGAGTGGAGGATGACATTAAATATAAATATTACAATTTTGATGCGAAGATGATGACATTTGTTGAGGTGAAAATCCTTCTTAAACAGACCAACATGACTGGCAGATCCATGATACCATACCATGTTGTGACAAAGACACATATTGCGATTCAGATATATATTTCAATAATATGTCCCCCAAGGAAAACTAATTATCCCTAAACACAAAGTACAGCTGAGGCAGATGGGAATATCATCAGTTTTGCAGGTTTGTGGTCATAAACCATATTATCAGACAAGCTGAAAAATGTGACCTGATGATGGAACAGGGACAAAGTTATTACAATAAATCCTGAGGGGGACCTGACTATCTGGATCAAATTTCATGCCAACTTATCCAATAGTTAAGACATTTCATTCAAAACCACGAACGTTCAATCTCATGCTGGCACTACAGTAAAAGTCAGGAGATCGTCAAAATCAGAATGGTCCATTCAACCAATGTTCTACATTTCATGGCAATCCGTCAAATAGTTGAGATATTTCAGTCTGAACCAAAGTGATAGACAGACCAACTGATAGACCGACACTGCCATTGCTAATAAGATACATCATAATTTGTCTGGAAAGTAAATATGTGATCAATTAACCTTCAACATTTCATCATATTAGAAAAGTAAAACTGATTAATTTGAATACCAGTAGAAAATAATCAGCCCTAGTATTTTAAGCCAAGGTAATTAGACTCTACATGACAGTTTTGGAACCATGTTGAGAAACACTAAACCATTAACTGTGTGGTGGAGTGCTGATCTGGCCTGAGCCTGGTTGGTTCAGACCTACAGGTAGAGAAGACAGACTGAGCTCTGACCTGCAGACCACCCAGCTGTGGAAACACACCCACTCAATGTAAAAATAAGTCCAGAATTGATGTAGGGAGCGCCGAGCTCAGAGAACACAGAGGACTTTAAGTACAACTCACAAGGCTGCAGCCTCCCTCAGGGTTTCATTTCCATGGTTTCAATTAGGTACTTGTACTTCAATTTTATTCTACTCCATACTTCCAATTCAAAATATTGTACTCTCATTTATTTGACATCTATAGTTAATAGTTACATTTCAAATGAAGATTTTATTAAAATAATATCACACTGATACATTCTGCAGCATAATGAATATTTGTTACTTTTAATACTATTTCATTACATTGTGTTTACTTTTTACTTTACTTGAGTACCATTTTGAATGCATGTATTAATACATTCTATATTTTTCTGAGTACTTACGCCACTGTTTCACATGCATTGATGTGATTATTTTGGTTGAAAAACTGTAACCAAAATCTCAGGAACTGATCTCTGGGCTTATGTGTTCACCTGATTTCAGTTGAATTGTTATTTATCCAGTTTTTAAATATATTTTTCTAGCAAACGGGTAAAAACAAAACCTCTCTCTAACTTCAAGAGAGAGAAAGAGGCAGAAAAACAGAGACACAGACAGTAAATCCTGTGGAAAACAGTGAGAAGCAGTTTCCACAGCCAAACACACACAGTGCAGACTTTGTGTCATAAAGCTCTACCTAAACATGACCTGTTCACTCAGGTGTGTGTGGGAGCATGGAGAGGACAGAGGAGAATTTCCACGCTGTTAACAGAAGCTCAGTGTCGGCGTGCTGTTGGTCTGCCTGACGTCTGGCCTCTGTGGAAACACGCAGACAGGCTGCGTGTTGTCAGACTGTTTCTACAAGGCTCTGGCTCGACACCCACAAAAACACAAAGACCTGAACTCAGAAGCTCCGTTCTGCACAGAGTCAACTCATTCACTCTGTTAAGGGTGAAACGCAGTTCAGACAAAGCTTATTCTCACCAGCTGGGAAATGTACTGGAATAATATCTCATGTTTGTATCCAAACAGGTTAGTTACCTTAATTATCACTCTCTGACTTGGAGAACGAGATCATGTGGTGATTAACATATAACAAAGCTGTGATGCATCGGACTTGGCAGTACATTTTACAGAAGTGAATGAAAAGCTCACAAACATGATGCTTCGTGTCAGCCAAAGTTTAAGAAACTTAATCCTAATTTAAACCAAACACACACAAGTAAACAGCCACGTAATTATGAGAGGGATCTTTTCCCAACACTCTGGCTCCGAACTAGAGACGATCCGTCCATCGAACAGCGTTGGCAGGACTGTGACATCTTGTAGTGTCTGTTGATGAAGCTGAGTGTCTTCACAGGCAACTTTTTTTTCCCCATTTGCTGCTCAGGCTAATTACACAGGTCTCCCTCATCTGTTTATTCCAACCGAGGAGTTCAAAGAAAAAGTATGATTGTATTGTATGTTTTCCTTTATGTCAACAGTTCCCATGAAAGACCAAAGCCAAGAGTAACTTGACCCTCCTGACAAGTATTGGGTGTGTATCCAGAGCCTGATATATCTTATTCCTCTGTGCCATAGAGCTCCATTGTTGTCAGAAACTATTAAAAACACATCTGTGAGTCACATTGTTGCACTGGGTGACATATTCCTTCACTACATGAACACATACACTGTAGCTATTTTGACTCAGTCCCAAATACAGTCATGCTGCCAGAAGTATTCACTAGAGCAGCAAGAGTGTCTTAATCCGCCGCTGATAATAGTCCCAAACAAATGCACTATTGTTCCCGTTTAAAAAAAAATTACTGAAGTGATCAGCTGTTTTCCGAAATTAGTGAACTTGTTTTAGTAATGTATATTTGTGAGATATATTTTAATGATTTACATCTTCACAGTTGAGAAGCCAGAAAGTACTGAGAGACAGACTAACAAACTGGTTTGCCTCATTAGTTGCACTTCCTTTTGCCATAAACCAGTCAGTTAGCATTCCTCACTCACACAGGTACTGCTAGCCTCAGGCGGGGTTAAATGAGAAATCGCCAACAGTGATATCAAGCTGCTGAGAGAGATTATGTGTGGGTTGGTGGGTATTTCTGTCTAAAGCACATACAGATGCTTTTGAAGATGACTGCAGTTTTTCAGCATGTGGTCTCTCAGAGGGAGTCTAACCCTGACCCTGTGTCCATATACACAACTACAGAAGCTAGACTAAGTTATCTGATCATACATACATATATGGATTATTATCCCCATCGCTTACATTAAAAGTGCATTAGTAAGAAAAGAAAGAAAAGACAGACTTTATTGTTCTGAAGGAAATTTCTCTTGGAGACATACAGTATCTGCTGTTAAAAATACAAAATGGCCAAGTGTGACAAACTACACACTATCCATCATACAACACACCTGTAGTCATCATTGTAGAGTCCATCTTAATGGCTAAGTATATCTCCCACTCTAATTCTGTCTATCAAGTTTGTAAATATCTTCCTCCTAGATGCTTGTTGGTCATCTTAATTAGAGACAGCCCAAATAATCAGGATGATTATCTGGCATTTTGAGATCACTGGCATGGGCCGATGTCTGTGCTCACAAAGCCGATAAACAGAAAAATGTCTGGACACATCATTAATTCATACACATTAACATGTTACTGGCTAAGATAACCAGGTATATTAGACTGTCATGTGCAATGGAGGAATGGAAATATATATGAATTTTATATCAGCATTATATAATCAGCCATCAGCCACCTTGCTCTCTAAATATCGGCATCAGCAATTGAAAAAGCCATCTGAATGAAGTTACAGATGATGGTGAACAATGACACACTGCTGCTACAGTGATATTTAATGTGCTTTCTGCTGACGCTTTCAATACACTGCATGTTTCTAATCATGATGACTAATTTTCCCAGACAGCAGAGCTCTCACTTTACAGCAGTCTAAATGTTAACCTGATGCTTTTAAAGGCTTATTCATCCAGCAGTCTAGACCATCTGCGTCACACAGTGATGATGTCATCAATGTAGGACAGGTGTCCAGGTAGTTTGTTTCAGGTGTTAAATGGGTTTCTGTGGCGCTCACTGAAGCAGGTTGAGACATGGAGCAGCTGTATGCAAAAACCACCTGGAGATTCAAATGAGAACATCTGACCTCCTTTAACCTCGCAGCTCCTCACTCTCTTCGTACCTCTAACTTATGCGTGTCCTTCTCCCTCCTCCTCCTCCTGCAATATTCTCTTTCCTCCTCCTCTTTCAACATTCTTCCACACCAACCTCTTCCCTCTTTTGAACCTTCTCCTCGTCTTTCGCCGACTTCTTTCTGCTTTCTTCCAAACTTTCTCCCTCGACATCTTTGTCCTGTTCAACATCCTCAATAATTTCCTTTTCATTGCCTTCATTCCTCTCCTTCTCCTCTACCTCTTCTATCTGTCGGCATCTTTTTGCACTTTGAGAGCCATGACATCATCTCTTTCCTCCATCATCCCCCTGTTCTTTAATGCAACCACTTGAGAAAGAGATAATTACATCGTCCATCCATCTCCCCTCTTCTTTCTTTTCCGTTTCCTTGCAGTTGGGAATTCCCTTATTTTCTCTTCCTTCTCTTTACAAACCTCTTCCTCTCACTCCATGTTTCTCCCCCTATCTTTCTAACCACAGTCTCACTGCTGTCGAGTCATGGAGAGGATGACTTCAAACCCCCCTCCTACCCTCCACTTCTCTGCACAGCCACATGAGGACAAGGTCAGCCGTCATCTTTGATCTTGTCATCTTCTATCCTCTTCCTCATGGATATTTTATTTTGGAGTCCTTCACAAGCCTCAAACCAAGACCTGAACCCGCCCAGTCACGCTAACCTCGACTGGGACCTGAACAGGCCTGGAGTCTGTCTGCTTTCAATATTTGCCAGCAAAAAAACATGCTTTGGGCTGCGCAAGTGAAACGTGAGCCATTGAGTAGCCGGTATAACCATTAAAACTGATGTTTGCATGTAACTATGGTTCAATGACCTCTCAATGAAAACGTAAGCACTGGTCTGTTTGTGTGTATGTTTCCATCCATACAGAAGAATGGAATAACCAACAGCACCTTTATGTCTGAATTTCTGTTCCCTTGACTCTGCACCCATCATCTGCCTGTCTCTCTAAGCAATTGGAGATTCCCTATCTAAAGTGGTTTGCACACCACATAATGACAGAGAGCAACCCCCCCCCACACACACACACATACAGAATCATATGGAATGATTAAGTGATAGAGCAGATGTTTACTCTTTAACTTTTCATTCAAATATACTCTGCTGTTTTTGCATCAGTCCAACAAAAGGATAATGACCTGAAGTGAACTGAGAAAAGCGAGACGGGGGGTACGAGCCAGTAGGAGAAAATGATTTAAATCTTGTAGTAAAAACTGATCTTGTGAAAGTTTTGAGATTTGCAAAAAAAGACCTGTAGCCAGAATAAAATTGTTAGAAATAGACTTAAACAAAGTTTAATGTCTGGACTATGTGTTTCTATTTGTGTATTTTCAAACTAGTGGAGCATACTTTAAAGCAAAAAACTAAATCTTGATAAATAAAACATATACAGGATGACAAAAAGTTAACAAAGAGTCCAGGATGAAAATAACTGGACTTTTGTTAGGAGTAGTTTTCTTTTCCCAACAACAGCTACAGCAGTTAAGTCCTTCTGTCTGTCCTTACTTATTATATGCTGTCTACACACACAGCCACTGTACAGCAGAGAATAATTATAATGTGAAGCCTTGATTGTGAGGGTACAGAAACAGTTCTTTGGTACACTGTGCAGGGAAAAGTTGTTGTGTGTGTGTTTGTGTGTGTTGTGTGTGTGGTGTGTGTGTGCGTGTGGTTGTGTTGTGGTGTGTGTGTGCTGTGTTTGTGTGTTGTGTGTGGTGGCGCATGTGTGTGCTGTGTCATTACATGGTGACACCATGTGAAACTGTGGCTTTATCTCCGTGTTTGAATTTCTTTTGCTTACTTGTTTACTTGTCGTCTCTCTGAGCATTACAACACTCAGAGAGTACAGTATACAGAAGATAATTAGTTCTAGATAGATAGTTCTTTCATTTGGATAAATCTGATTTATTGCAACTTGGGTTTGTTTTCTGTAGATTCTAACCATGTATCATAACCAATAGAAATCATGGCCTAAACCATGAAAAAACCCAAGTTGTTATAAACCAAAACTTTCCATCAAAAGTTTTATCTTCTTTCTGATCATTTACACAGTTTAAAACTGTTCTGGCGATTTAGTTTGTGCTAAAAAGTCATGATGATTGACCGAACTGAGAGAGGACGGACAGTAAAGGGAACTGTGCAGAAAGAGACAGAAAGGGGAAAGAAAAAATAAGGCACGAAGCAAAAAAACATGTTCAGAGATGTTAAACCCACATCAGACATTACTCTGTTTACCATGGGCGGGTCTGCGCTGCAACTGTGCGCTTGTGTGTGTTAGTGCGCGTGGGAAGTGTGTACGGACTATTTCTGTGTCTGCGCATTTGCGTATTGGATTTGTCGAGAGGGAGGACAGAGAGGATATTTGTATAAAGGCCTCGAGGTTTCATTTTGATTGTGGTGTGTGCGCGTTTATGCATGCATGAATGTGTGTTTGTGCACGTGTTTGGGCGTTTCCGTCCTATTTCTACCGTAAAAGGTCATTTGCAGTCTTTCCTTGGCGAGCGTTCAGTCTCTTTGATTATGGGATGGTGAGGCCAGGTGCGACCATGGCAACCACAGGGTGTGTCGCTTTGATAGCAGGGAAGGGTGTGGCTCAGGTGCCTGCCTGGCAGTATGTCTGGGTTGCCATGGCAATATTCCAACAGCCAGGCTTAAAGTCACTACAGGCCTCAAAGCACAGAAACTGCTCGGACTGTCTAAATCTAGTCATGATTCATAGATATTGAAGGTAAAAACACTCAGAAATCAGCAGCTTCGATCCAGATTTCAGTTCTAAACAACATCAGTCTGATGGTTTGAGTGTTAAGTACCCCTGATTTAACAAAACAAAATACTGACACATACTTTGACAAAATGTCTGCTGTGACAAAGACAACAACCTTCTTGAAACTGTTCAAATAACAGCGGTGGCACAAACTCTCCTTCACAAATCACAAATAAGTCTCCCGTATTGCTTTGAAGTCCAGAGTCAAGATTAACAAGTCGCAAATCAAGACCAATAAGACCCATGTTAACACCAGTAAACCCTTACCAAGTCCAACAAGTCCCGAATCAAGACAGGTAACAAGTACACGTTGCTCATTCTACAAAGGGAAATGGTTCTGTTATAATACGTTGACAAATCCTCCACTGGAGATGAAATGGTAGACCCAGAGGGTAAAAAGAAAGTAGACTATTTACCACTGAATGGATAAAAGAGATCAGTAAAATGGCTATGGGCAGAGGAAGCTTAAGTTTTTGATCTGTAATGTGCTAAATAGATCCCTAAACAGTGACAACAACCAACAGATAAAAATGAACTACTTTTCTGCCTTAAAAACAAGACTGCATAACAAATAGACGAGGCCGGGGATTAATTCATTCCTCGGGGCATCAGATGACTGACAGGAGGCAGAGCATAACATAATGCAGCAGAGATCTGAAAACACTTATCTCAGGACAATGAGAGCAGGATCAAACAGGCTCCCCGTGTTTACTGTGGAGGATTATGTCATTCTGTGGAAGATGGTTTTAATATTCAGCAGGTGACGTTTTCTGAAGTAAACACTCTGCTATCTGCAGCTCTGCTGCTTATGTAATAACACTAGGGCTATCCTTTAACTTCTTTTTGCTTCTGACTATGTGATAATGTAACTTCACAGACAGATTTGTTGTTGTAGTGTTCATTGTAGTTCCACTGAAAACCTGCTGGATGTGAGACGAAGGCGATGTTGGCGCTGACTGGCGTTCTTCTTACCTTTCTTCACCTTCTTCTGCAGTTTGATGGTGTCTGACGATTTCTTCTTGATGTCTGCTCTGGCCTTCTTGTACTCTAAACAACCAAAACAAGGCGGCAGTGAGGGAGAGTTTGAGCCTGTGTGTGAGTGTGTGTGTTTGTATTTGCATGTTGGCATACCTTTAGCATGATCTTTGTCCAGTTGACTGGCCACTTTTTTCCACTCCTCCATCTTCAACTCCAGCGGAGTAATAAGACTTTCTGAGAGAGCTCTGAGAGAAAAAGATTTAAAGTCTCACTTAATAACTGTGTTTAAGCCCATTTTCTTGAATTAATCCTCCAAACAACAACTTACTTCATCAATTTTCCAGTGATTACTTCTCTGGTAGGTCAGAAAAATTTTATTTTATGATTCACATATGTAGTTTTGGTCTAGTAGTACCTACATTACCACTTATTTGTTAAGTATTCTTCCACTGATGATGATATTTTGTCTAAAATGCCAGAAAACACTGAAATTATATCCAAAAATCTTAAATTTAAAGTACACAGCCTCACATTTGAGAAGCTGAGAGAAGGGAATGTCGGACATTTCTGCTTGATAAATGATTTAAATTATTAATCAATTATCCAAATTGTTAGCAAGTAATTTACTGTTGTTCAACTAACCGATTAATCAAAGAACGGTTTCACTAATTACTTATACTACTCCCTTAATTAGTGCTGCTTCTACCAAAAAAAAATTCTTTAAACCTGGCCTGTTTTTGTAGTTTTGCCTCTATACACTAGTTTTATCACCAATATGTGGAAACATGACAGCAGCACCAAACACAGCATGATCAGACATGTTTTGTACATCTCAGTCCAGGTAATGTAAAGCTGTGTGGTGCTGCTGTTGAGGTAAAACTGTAAAACATGAAGACCATACTTTTAGGAAATCATTCCCTGAGAGCTATATGTATTGTCTGTGTGAATCATCTGTCTGACAGTGTGTCTAATGACAGCAGACAGTAATGAGACGGGCAAGACAGATACGACTGTGAAGTTGGAGCAGTGATGAAAGGTGAAATCAGAACAACACGCACACACACACGCAGACAGACACA